ATACACATAAGAAAAGACTGAAATTTGTTGAGCATTCGATTAAGATATTTCAACAATTGCACTTTGAGATAAGATCTTGATGACAAAAAGACAAAAGATTATTTTCTGTAGTAATTAAATTCATTCAATTTCAATAATTTATTACAGATTTTTTCTATTTTAAAAAGAGAAATTTTGCACACAAACAATGTCTACCTTTAATTAACATATTCAATAAAAAAACCCAGTTCGAAAAATTGGGGGCCTATATATACGCTTGCAAACGATATTATAAGTATCATATTTCGTATACGACTGTATCTTATGACTCAATACTATGACCGTATATCTCCGTGGCTATATATGGAGCAGTACAGCCATTGACGATGAAAAAAAAGGACACTGTATATACGGCTTTCGAGGACGAAGAAAGTAAAAGAGCATTCTTTTGCTTCGAATACGAAACGAATATAAACGATAACAATATTGAGCTATGTACATATATCGTTAGATTTCTCTGTTTACGACTGTGCTTGTTTAACTAGGGAAGTTCAAAGATGTGAAATCGAATGAAAAGATTTTAGCATATTTGATGAAAGTTTTTTTTTTTTTGTTAAATTTAATGTTTCAGTAGTTTCTGATTTGAACACAGATATTGAAAAAAAGAATTATAAGAACTTTATTAGAATGTCTAATTTAACTGGAAAATTCGATCGCTTTTTTTGCTATATTATTTTTTACATACCAGGAAAAAGTCTAATCAAACACACTAATGAATAGAAAAATATTATCTATCTTTCATCATTATACCCTAAATTGACAAGGTTTTTCTTCTTAATGTGTATCAAATAACAACTAAGCATCTGTGACATCAGCACATTACACTTTAATCATTAAAAAACTAAGAGAAAAAGTTTACTGTTGAAATTTAATATAGAAATAAATTAATCATAAGAATCTGGAAGAATCTTTTCTTTTTTTATATGAAATGCAATGCAATTAACTGCATTAAATATGACTGATTGAAGCATTTACTTTTTTCCAGCTTGAATGATGATTATATTTGAAAATGTTTTCAACATTTTTTTTTCTTTTATATTTATCGAATTAATCAAATGGCTTTTTTAATACTGTTTACCATCTGTTCGACAGTTGAATTGGAAAGCGGAAATCAAAAGTCAAACGAATAGTCACTAGGTGTTTTATACTAAATGTTACCGATTACAACCCATGATAAACTGATTTGTTCAACATGAACTTTTTTTCTTTTTTTTTTTTTTTTTTTGTAATTCCATCAATTGATATATAAAGAGAATATGAATTGATTTTTCAGCGGCATCTGTCATGCATAATTTGATTGGTGAATTTCGGTACAGTTAGCTGAATAGAAAAGTTGAGAAAGAATAACAAGGGGGGCAAAAGGGTACATAGATTGTTTTTTGTTTTCTGATAGTTATATTCTAATTCTAGACAATGAGCAAATCTGAAACACGTAAACGACATCGAACAACAAGTGGAAACAGTGATTCAGACTCCGATTCAGATTCATCACAGTCAAAACGTAATAAAAATTGTTTTCTTTTTTTTTTTGACATTATTTTAGTTATTTTCATTTTAATACAGAAATCTTTGCTGATGGTTATGATGAAAATTATCGTGGAGATGCTAATGATCGAGCTTGGTTAAAAACTTTATCTGAACGTGAACGTGAAGCAGAATTATTAAAAAGACATGAACAACGTGAAATAATCAAACGTCGGTAAGAATTTTTTTTTTTGTAATTTGATTTCTATCGAAAAATGTATATATTTCCTTTTTTTTTTCTTTTATCGTGGTTAGTGAAGAAATAAATAAAAGACTTAAATCAAAAGCTGAAGAATCAGGAATAAAAAGTGAAGAAGAAGGTGAAATAGATGATCATGATGATGATGAAAGTGATCATGAAAAAACAAATGAAAATTCTACACGTAAATCAAATTTATTTGATAATGATATATATGCTGAAGATGATGATGATGATTATCGATCATCAACAAATAAACGAAAACAAATTAATGCTTCGAAACAAAAAGAAACTGAACATAGTAAATCACTTCAATTATTAGTTGAAGGACGAAAGAAAAAACAAGGTAAGAATAATCTCTAATATATATTCATTCAATTGAGAATTAAATTTTCTAAAAGAAAAATCATAGGAAAAGTCTTTTCCGACTTTTGAAAACTTATAACTGACTATTCGAATTATTTTAATTCATATTTTACTAACTATTATGTTATCTGATCAAGCGTTCAAAGGATCGTACTATTAGCTGTTAGAATAAATTTATAATCCTAGACAGGATATGGGAAAAAACAATGTTGAGTGCTGTTTGACTTTATATTTTCATAGATTTATTTGAAATTGAAGAAATTCAAAACCAATTTTCGTGTATTTCTTTTCTATGATCTTACAATGCCGATGTCTAATGTTATAAA